GAGAAAGAAAGAGGGGGGTGAATATATCTTTGTGACATGTGTTCCATAAACAAACAAAAAGGACACACACACAGAAAGAGTAATGCTGCGTTCGGATCTCCTCGTCTTGCTCGGCCAGACAACTTGTCGCGTTCGGAACCACGAGGCCTGGATTACACACAAAGCAACACGCTCAAAAAGACAAAAAACATTCACTATTTTATCATGCCCATGGATTTAAAAGTTGGATTAGAACTTTTGATTACTGCATTCAGGTAGCTTCCCTCACAACTCATGCCATAATCATGGTTGTAGCGTACTGTAAATGACAGTTTAATAAAGAGGCAATTATGAATATTGGGTAAACCTAAAGTTCATATTTCAAAACCACCAATTCCTCAAATCAGTACGTTCGACAGTTATATATTTTTGTTAGATTCCACTATAAGACATGGATTTATAATCATAGATCATATGAATAATGTTTATGCATCATGAGTGTTTGTGTGTAAAAGAGCCAATCTGGTTGGTTGCCGAATAGGACTGAATTATGCAATTTTGGCACTTCAAGCGTGTGTAATCATACGCTTAGATGTTAAGTAGTTGTCTTCTAGACTTTGGGTGTCAATCTCGTGACTCGCAGGTCAAATGTGGCTCCCAGAATAGTCATACATGGTCAGGGGTGACAAAAAGTAAAACAATTCATGTATAAGAAACTGACAATTCGTAGAATTGTATTTCATAATGATGATAATTATGGATGTCATGGCAAGCCAGACCTCGTGTTTAAATTTTGAAACAATGCTGCACAACCAACTTTGTACCCATTGACTTTTTAAAATCGAACAAGTAAAATAAAATTTACGTCACGGTACGTAATATCACATGCTTTTTATCAATCCTGAGAGGCCAGGTATATTTCCCGACCCTGAAGATGGGAGCTGAAATAAGAATTGACTCCGAAGGTGTTTGAGTTAGACACCTCTGGTCTAGATCAGTGCGATCAAGAGGAAAAGTTCGTCAAGGAAAACTATCGCAAGATTAACAGTGGTGGCACATACATTGGGCTTCTGAGGATTACAAGAAAAATATCTGTAAATCATCAAGCTGGATCATTTATTGTGTCAGGCGTTTTTTAGACGTTTACATCGAACCTTCTCAAAGCTACGATGGGAGGCAAAGGGGTTCTCCGGACACGCTATAAAAAAAAAAAAAAAAAAAAAAATCACCGATGTGCAGCTATAGAAGAGGCTCGAAGCGGTCAGGGTACAACCTTTGGTTAGTCTTGGTCGGCATGTTCTTCCAGAATTTGTGGATCTGGAAGAGACGAAGATAATGATTTCCTTTTGGAGAGAGATGCGCAGCTGTGTATCTGTGGGTGAGCAGTGTGGGAGGTGCGATAATCAATGGGACACTGGGCAAAAAGAGGTATTCTGATGCCACAAACGGTTATTAAGGCATACTCTAAAATCATATCAGTCGCTGATGTACTTCTATCAAGTAATATAATACGTACGTGTCCCCTTAGTGCTCCCCCCCCCCCCGCCCCACAAACATAACTACGCCACTACTAACGATACGACATTATCAATCTCTAAACCTATTACATCCAGTGGAAAAAAATGACACCCAACAGTATTTAGAAACTAATACCCTGCACTCTTGGAATGTTTTCATGAAAGGCGAGGAAGTGATGGCCAAGTAACTGTTGCTCGAGGACAACGTCGGCGCCCACTTGAAGCCGAGGGACAGGTCTGGCGTTGGGTGTCTGGGGAGGAGGAAAGCATAAAGGTGATGAATAATGTATGTCGCTTATCAACTCTTATTGTGCAAGTGCTATCATTTATCTTCAATCGCAAGGACGATTTTAACTCAATATCAGAAGAGTAAGGATGTAAATGACACAGACATGAAATCGCATATTCACATTCAAGTTACATCTGCACGAACACAAATGCAAATAGGAACGTGTACACAAAGATGAAAAGGAAAACATCCACAATCAGAAATGAAAATATATTGTAACGTATCTTCATTTCTCATTGAATTTTAATTTCTTATCATGACTATTTTCCTTTTCAATTCATCCACGTTCGCGCGACGGAGATTGGGTTAGCCTTACCCTTTGGCAGCGAAGTTGGTCCAGAGTTCCACCATGATACGGCTGACGAAGAGGTCCTCGTCTCGCTGTAACGTCATATTATATTCTTCTTGATTGAACAGGTACTGAAGGTCATCCGCGTGAGTGACGTCTAAATTGGAGAAAAAAGAAAATGTTACACTAGATAGGTAAAACTTCCGAGACGATCAGTAGTGTATTTTAACGTCAAATGAACTGGCAATTGTACACGTCACTGTTGCTGTCCTCACTGAATCCTACATCATCTAAAAATCCATCTGGCAGATTTTATTTACAGTTCTTCACCCAGTCCGGAACAGAAGGGAAATAAGTAGAGACGTATTGGTGTTCTCCACGATGCTGCAACTTGTAGGTAAATACTTGCTTCTGAGATGTTCGAAGGTGCTGCCCGACCGCGTCCATGTGACACATATCGAACAGTCTGTCGCTGTAGAGCTGTTGCATATTTTATGTAATTATTCTATATATCTATTCTTTATTTTTCGTGATAATACTAAAATTCCGTAAATGCTTTTTACTCGAAAGTTGTCTTTGCTTAAAAACATGAACTCTTTGGTCACTACTACTGCACGTTATGGCTGGAAAATGTTTTTATTCCTCCTCCCCATATACTAATACTTATCTTCATTTTCCCTTTTCATCATTTTAGTCAATAAACCCCATCACTATCCATATCCCTACACTCATTATAACATTTCCTTTACCCGGATAATAGGATCCCGCTTCTCCTCCGTCAGTTCAATGGGCCCCAGGTAGTGGTGGAAGGCCCGTCGTGCCAAGTACTCGGGGTCTTCTTCCCAGCCCTCGAAGGTCAGGGAAAGCGGGCCGCTGACAGAGAAGTTCTGAACCAGGTCGTCTGCCGAGGCTTTGTCCAGGTTGTAAGCTGGTCGATGGAAGGAACAGCTGGTTATATCTGCTTAGGGCTGGCTTTAGCTTAGAGGTAAATAGTTTGAGAAATGCGTATGGAATAAGATTTCTTATAGTTTCGATGTGGAATAAGAATGGTAGAAGGAATATGGACAGCGGGATCGAACCTTTTTATGAGAGAATTTCAAGCCTAGCCAATTAAGATTTCCAGAGGTCTGCCATTAAGTTTGGAAAATTGAGCCATGCGTTTCTACTCCATGAAGTGCCCCTCGCTAAACGATGTTTTATTAATTGTTGTTAAGAAATGAAAAGGGCAGACCCATGGCTTTTTGTTGCCTGTTGTTTTTCAATCTCTCTTTCAAATTCGAGAGTGTGGGGGTGTTGTTTTTTCTTTTAATAACTGCATTTTCCTGGATAAATTTGGTGAGAGAACTAACGGTATTTAAATTATTTCCGATGACAATATATGTGATTGAACGGGCATGTAGAACAAGGTATGCAGATCTAGAAATCGTTCATCCAGGAGAAAAAGAAGGTTAGATTTGCATAATATCTTCTTACACAAAGCCTACTTATATGAGAGGACTGTAAATTTTACAGAAGGGTTATATACAAATGTCTGTGGATGGACGGTCTTCCAAGATGGGTACGCTACATAGGAGCACATTTAGAGTCTTTTAGTTGGTTGGCGAGTTGCTTTTTTGAGCAACCTACATCAACCGGCTTGAATCAAAGGACAAAAAAGTAAATAGATGAAAAAAATCAGTCAGTCAATCTCTCTCTCTCTCATATAAATATAAATAT